ACACAGCCCTGAAGACCTTAATTAGCTGAAACAGTCTCCGACCTTCACTTCGCTTTGTCCAAGTAGAGCCTCCAAGACAGGCTGGAACACATTTATCCCATGAACTTGTCACACGAGAAAGGCTGTGCAGTGCTTGGTTGGGCCTGCCTGCACTGAGAGGTAAGAGGATCTCAGGTTGTTTACCAGAAGGTGTTTCACAATGCACAAGTTAAAACCAGGCTGGCAGGCTCTGTGGGAGCCACACTGCATAGCACTTCCCCAGCTGCCTGGGTCAAGGGCTTGCATAACATCGAGAAAAGTAATGTGTATCTGTGATATTATTTGAAGAAGCTTCATAAAAAATATAGTCTAGTGTAATTTTCTAGCTCAGCATGTGATTTTGAATTTCTAAGATAGAAAAAAGGACTAGCTCATTGTATTGGCATACATAATTTGGTTAATTTTAAATTTTGTGGCACTCTCAGTAAACCATTTCACATATTTAGGTAATTTCTTGATACAATTGCATATGAATAATAATGCCAGGAAACACACACTTGCTTTATCCCTCTTTCATGCAGTGCCAAGTAAGAAGCTGTGATGAAGTCAGAGCAGTTACTTCAATGTGAAATGCACGAGTCTCACCCTCACACCACACAGAGCAATGCTGTCACTGTTTTGTTTTAAACACACTATTCTGTGCTAAGTCTTCAAATTTATGTTGTTTGACTCAATAAATGTTTGATGGTCTCAGTGTAGCATCTAGTGGAGAAAGGGTAAATAACAGAAAAAGTTCAAAGCAGAACAGTCCCATTAACTCTGGTGCACACTGCGGATGAAAGTGTGCCCTGTTGGGGAGGAGCAATACTGGGAATACTCCCCCAAATCATTCAGTGGAACACTTCGAGGGTTTCTGCAAAGTGGCTGCAGTTAACTGTGTACAGTGCAAGGCTTCTAATTCAGGCAGAGCAGGATGGTATCACTGGCCTGAATTCAGCTCAGGAGAGTCTCTTTGAGGTACACAATTGCTATGAAGGCAAATTGTCCTTTAGAAACTTCCTTACTTAGTTTAAATTTCCTTTTGCTGCAGCAATAATGTTTCTGTCCTGGCTTAGTTAGTTTTGTGCTTTTTGAGTTCATGCTAATACTGTCTCCAATTAAACTACAGAGCCAGAGCTGTTGTTCCCCAAATTTTGTCTTGACTTAGCCCTTGCACGACCCAAACGATGTCAGTGTTGCTGCAGCAGCTGTCACACTGGAAACACCACAGCCAGATCTGGCTCACAGGGGACTTGGCTCAGGACTGCTCCAGGACCCGTGGTGCAGCCAGACCTTGCAGGGGTCAGGGAAGTTGTGAATGTACAAGCAAAGCAGGAATTGTTCCTGCTGCCTTTGCATAATCTGGGATTCAAGGGCTTAGCTTCTGAGCATACCAAATCTCAGCAGGTCCTGAAAAATGGGCTCCTCTGTGTAATTACTTAACAGCAGCAAAAAAAAGCTTAGTGTAACATTTTAATATAATTTTTTCTGAATGTCAGTTTTATATTCTGTTTACAAACAAATTAGAGTAGCATATCAATGGTAAAAGAGAAGAAAGCTTCATTTTCAATAGCTGTGAGCTTTACAGAGTAAAGAATAGAAGGCTTGTTTTATAATTATTTTCTTTAAACTTTATTGTGACTTTTCAAGTGCATAATGTCTTCAGTATTTTATGGGGAGGTGAACAAAGAAGCACAAATCCATATACCAGAGTCTGCCTCTAGGCAAAGCTCATAGTGTAGAGTCCTCCACTGTTAGAGGGGGGAGATAGCTATGAAATTAATGATGGGTTTGTAGAGCCAGTTCCTCATGATATGGCATGGAAATGTGCTGCCTTGGGCAGGAATACAAAACAGAGGGTATGTCCCTCATTAACAGTACCTCTAGAGAAAACTGTGATTAATCCAAAATTATCTGAGATACGATTTCTTTGCAATTCATGAGGCCTCTGTATGTTGCCACATATGTGTAGCAAGCAATTACAGAAGAATCTGCATTAGCCTTGTGGTGCTAACCAATAGGCAGCAGACTCAAGGGTTCCCCATTCTGTATTTGTCTTTACTAAATCTTGGAAGTAAGATAGGTCAGATCTGCTCACTCCTTCATCCCCATTAGCACACTGAAAGATGTAAAGTAGGGGGGATTCCTGTTTTCCTACCTTGATGCAAAGAGTAGAGCTGATAGCGCTGCCTGCAAGCAGAGAGACTGCACAGCTGTCTTCCAAAATGCCTCCCAGGTCATCTCCAAGAGTGCCTTTCAGCTCTGTCCTAATCTCAGTTCTAACCCTCATTACTTAATGTTTTCCTACTCCTCTGAACTGCTGAGAGTCCTGTTCCATGATCCCAGAACAAGTTCACTGCAATGAGGGTAACTATCCTGGTTTTTGAGTACTTATAAAATGGCTGCAGACATCACCAAAAACCCCTCTCACTGCAGTCCAGTGACTTCTGAGCCTGGAACTGGAGAGAAAGAGCTCCAGATTTTGACCTTTTTATGCAGAGAGGAATACAAGCACACTTTCTACTGTCTTACAGGTGACTTGGGAGTATCAGTAACATCATTACTGCTAAAGGCAAGCATTCAAAAAACAGTTTGTTTCCAAGATTGTGAAATAATATAGGTGCATTTTAATTTTCATCCTGTTGTTCTTTTGGGTTTTTTTCTGACTTTTTTAACTTTCACATTTCCAAGTCCCCACAACTATTATGACTAGAAACATCATCATTATCAATCATCAGTACCATGGCTGTTGGTAACACTAGTACATGAAAGCTAAGATTCTTAGATAGCAAGCAAATTTTATGAGCTGTGGGAAACATTACAGACCTGCTAAAGATCAGATAAAAGCCACATTCAGTGTGCAAATAAATGCTAGCCTTGGTGATGGTGCCACCAGAGCTATGAAGCACTGAGAGATCCTGTCCTCCATGTGTGGTCCCTTTGGGGTTGAGTAAAGAAGGTGCAGATAGAGTAATGGGGTAAGAGCTATACTGTGCTTTGCTGCTTTCAGTGTTGTCAGTCCACAGGGCTGCCAGCTCACCCTTTATTGGCATCTCTCTTCTATTCCCTGGTAACCCAGAAGCCACTTTTGTGCCTGTGAAAGCATCTTTCCAGGGTTCTATTCACCAAATGGCAACTAGTTTGAAAACTCCAGCTGGCTCTCTGGTCCTCTTGTTTTTGCTGAAAGTTTACAATGTCATCTGGTACACTCTATCAATGCTATTTTTAGTATAGAAATATTTTTAAACAGAAAGGAACATACAACATTTTGCATTCTTGATCTAAAAATATTTTTCTGCCTAACTAGAAAATGCAGCGAGCCAAATTTTCTGTAAATGTTGATGCCTTTTATTGTAATTAGTCTAGCTAATTTCTAATGATCAGCCCAAGCTTTCTAAAATTTTTTCTACTTATGGCATGAACTTTGGAACCACGTCAGGAAGCCAGAAAGTGAACATTCTATTAATCAAAAATGCAGAACAGGTTTTACAGTTCCTGGAAGAACTTAACTGGTCAAAAAAATCTGTCTTGGCAATTTTTTTTTTGCAGGAGGCCAGAATGTGGGTGTACCAGGAAGTATTTTGCACACATGTTTTGTTTAGCTGAGTTGCTGCTCTGCCATCTTTGTCTTTTCCTTAGGACAGGCCAAATTCAGCAGTTTTCTGTACTACGCTCTAATTCAAGGTCAGAGCAAACCATAACAGTCAATAAATGCTCTTTTATTTTTCTCTTCAGAAATTCTTGTAAAGAACACTTACTTTGGAAATGTGTCATATTATACTGCAATAGAGAAAGCCATTTTCAGGACTGGGGTTGCATTTCTGGCTATGTTTTGCCAGCGGGGGAAAAGCCCTGCACTGCTGCTGGCTGTTGGCAGACAATGCCAACCTCAAAACCACAACTGTGAAACTGCGGTGCAGTGAGAGGTGACGCGCGTCTCCGCTGGGTCTCGCACGAGTGAGGAGTTCTGAGCAAACTTCTATAAAGAAGCCTGGGAAAGGCTGAAGCACTACATGATTATTTTTTTAAATCCACAGGAAAAAAAAGAAATGTGAAGGGATGACAGAGAGGCCATTTTCTTCTCTCTTCTTCTATATGTATTGGTATTTTTCAGAAGGTTTTTTGATGTTCTACTGGAAATGGGGCTGAAATATGAAACTGCCCATCTGAAAGTGTGAGCTTACTCCAGTGTTCGTCTTGTAGATCAAGGAAGAAAAACCAACTCAAGCAACTTCTTTGCTGATGTACAGTGTGCACTGCTTATCTACACAAGTTGCTGTCACCTTAAGAGAATAAAGTGCTGTGGCCTTCACTCAGGGATCTTAGCAACAGAAATGTAAATAGCATTGAGTACAAAACACAGCAACCTGTGCACTTACATCATTCTTATTAGAATCAGTGCTATCTGACTTTCAGCTTTGAAAGAAAACTGTCTACTTTCTGGATAGTTACCTACAATTCAGTCAAATAAAGGTCAACATAAAGTTAGGGGGAAATAAAATAAAGCCTGTGCAAACAGGAGGTGAAACCTGTACATGTGAGCTGCTCATTTCAAATATTGCTTCAGATTTTTTATCACTGTAGAAATAAATCAATAGTAGAATTGAACTAATTTTGCATGTATCTTTCTTTCCTCCCAAATAATCCAGAAATTTTCTGAAAAGTTCCAGATCCAGAAGGCTTTCGTGGCAGTTGTTAGTGCTGGGTTGCTTAATGATGGACTTAGAAAAAGAAAAAAACTCTATTTTAAAACACGCAGCACAGCTCAAACCAAAGTTATAGGCCTGTTGCAGAAATTACTGGGTGAGGTTCTTTGGGCTAAGTCAAAATGAAGGTCTAACTAAATGGTCATTTTTGGCTTTGTATCTATGCAACTGGTTTGCTAAATTAAGGTCACTGGATCTCATCTCAAAAATGTTGATTAAATCCCTTTTAAAGTTCTAAAAATATTCATTAGATGTTTCATTGATTTGTTTTCTCAGGTTCAGTCCCCAGAGGATATGACAGGAAGCAAGAGGTCTGACGTGGGGACATCTTTCTGCTGCAGCTGTAACAATGAGAAAGGCTGACCCAAGTCACACCAAAAGTCCAGGTAACCTGGTGCCCTGCAGTTCCCTACAGTGGAAATATAAGGAGAGAGCAGTTACAGTATAATTTCTCCTCCTATTTACCAGTTCAACCTCTGATTATCTAAAGATGGAATTGGAGGCTCTCTCCATTTCTCTGCAAAGCAGCTTGTTTTTCTGTGAATTTGTCTAGGAACTTCTTGCAACCCTAAGTATTTTTGGCATCTAAAAGATCTCATGATGATGAATTATTCAAATTAAGCAGATGTTGTTTAAATAGTACTTCCTTTTGCTTATCTTACACTTCCATTTGAAAAAAATATTATTAGATTCATCGTTGTTCTCATAAGAAATGAGTAATTGTTCCCTGTTCACCTTTCCCATGTCAGACTTGATTTTTGATACCTTTTTACATCTCCCATTTCTCATCTATTTTCTAAGTAGTTCCAGAGTAATTGATCTATCTTAGAAGGTATTCAGTCTTTGTGATCAATCTGGTCACTCTTTTTCCTGTTTTTTCATGGTTTTCCAATGCTTAAGATGCTACCACGTGTCAAGATGCTATAAGCAGACTTTTGTCTGTATTAAAGGAAAGAACATGATTCCTGAAGATTTATAGAGTAGCATTTTATTTTATTGTTGCTTTTTCATTCTCTTCTGTCCTTATCAGTCCAAACTGCCTCTCTGAGCATTGTGATAACAATTTCAGAAAACTGTCCATAGGGACTTCAAAATATCTTTGCTGACTGATATGAACTAATTAGGGCCTATCTACTATGTTGCACAAGTAGATTTTTTTTTTCTTCCTTTCATGGACATATGATCATTGCATTTTAGCTGCTGTTTTATCACCTACTCCATCTTTATCATGATGTTTCTTTTCTTTTGGCTACTTTGTGTAAGCAGTTTTGGTTTTGATTTTCGTGAATAATTGTGAATTCCCTAAAAACACTGTCCAATCCTGTTTCACTTACCACTTGTGAAGATGTTGTAAAGCTCAGATGCATTTGGAATCTCACTGGTTACTCCCTTTGTGATCATTTACCCATCCATCTTCCCTTTGAAGTAGTTACCAATCAGAAAGAGAGCTCACCTCCTCAGCTTTGTAAAACTGTTTGGGGAAATCTTTATATGTGATTGCTGTATCCAGGCCGCATGTTAGATGTTCTTCACATCATGTCCATAGCTCCTTTATGGGTCAGACTGGGAAGATACCCCAAACATCCTCTGTCTCCCTGTGTGCCACACATTTGGATTTCCTTCTGTGGCAATTAGACTATGAGGAAAAGCAAGATGGGGAATATGGATATTCTCCGTTCAGTCAGAGAGAAAAGGAGCGAGATTTTGCTAGGCTAAGCCTGGGAAAAAGTCAGCGAGGAATGTAAACTATTCATTATCTCTCTTTCTGTTCATATTGTTTGTAGATATGTTCTGCCACCGTGTACTATTCATAGTGCACCAATGGAGTGAAAGGTTTTCACTTTGACACCAATCATATTTCACCTTAGCAATCCTGGTTATGAAAGAGGAATGCTGCTTGTTAAAGTTTTCATTCTTTGCCTTCTGATCTTGGAGTCATCATTCCCATCCCTGCCTGAACAGCAACAGGGGGAGGAGAGGAGGAAGAAGATAGCAGAAGCTGGTACAAACTTGGTCTTCTTCCAAGAGGGAGTTGATTAAGACTGAGGACTCCAGTGTCCCAGTGTTTATACAAAGTCTACATAAGCCAGCTCCTCTTTATCAATATTTGCTGACTTTGCTGACATTTTTAAAGCACTTCCAGGTTTGCAGTTTCTGCTTCTTCTCATTACATGGTGGTGAGCCATGTGTTAGACTGACTGGGTTGTCATTTCTGTTTTCTCTGAAGTCTCGTCTAAAATTTCTATTCTTCTAGAACTGGGTTCACTCCAAACCATAAATTACAAAGCATAGTTAATAGTTTGGCGATTTCAGATCCAAGCTCCTTTTGAACCCTGGGGTGAAAAATACATTGTCCTGGCAGTCAGGTACTCTGCAGTTTACTGAATGGCTCCAAAACCACAAACACTCAGTTTTGCAAATATGTTTTTTCTCATCATGCCCCTAAAAAAGGTTTTGTTGTAGCAATCACCTCAAAATCTGCCAAAAAGAACAGTGATGGAAAAAAAGTACTTAATTTTCTCCTGTTTTCCCTGAATGCTTCTGTTACATCTCTGTTGCCTGCTAGTTCCTCACATTCTCTGGCAGATCTGTTATTGATATGTTTGGGGGAAAAAATTATGCTTCAAAATATTTTTTACCTGGTTTATTATGGTTTTGCTTTGCCAGTTTATGCTACTTGCCAGAGTTTATGTTTCTCCTTTTGGACAGAAACAGAGAATAACAGTATTCCACAAGTGAATGCACAAGTGAACTTCATAAAATCACTTGGCTGTTTCCAGTGGGTATCTAGAAGTACAACCTTGTGGTACTTTGATGTGCATTAAAGGCAAAGAAGTTTGTCAAAGGCTGGCTGGAGAAAAAAAGGACTTGGTGAAACGTGGTCCAGAAACTGTAAGTACTGATGTTTCCATTATCTTTCAGTGCATTTCTGAGCATTATCTATTACATATATTTATAAAAGGGATACAGCCAGCCTCCAGACTGGATGATAGCTGAAACAAGTTTATTACCCAAATTACTGTTTCACAGAATTCTAACAATTAATACTGTGGAGCCCTATGGCACCAGGTATTGCACAAACTTAAAGAGAAGGTGAGTCCCTCTCCCAGGCAGCAAAATTATTCTGTCCCCATAGCTTAGAACATTGTTGAACACTTGTGTTCAGTGTTTATGTCCATACAATGCACTATGGATATATCAACTGTGATCCCAAAGCCATATTCCAGCACATATTTCTCTGCCATTTATGCTGAGCAGTGGCACTTCCCACATGGGATTTGGCCAACTTAAAGGTTATTCCCTGAGTAATGTGTGTGTGTTCTAAGGGCTTTGCTGAATTAGGACCTTACTTTACAGAAAATGTATCTGCTAATAAATACATGTTATGCTTGATCAAGCTTAGCATTAAGTGCCTTGTCTCCTCTTTTCACATCTAAACTCCACCTGTGGTGAGAGTAATTTATCTTGAATTGCTTTAATGCAGTGTTTAAGTATGTCTTCTTGGCCACAAAGCAGTCTGCATGTATTTCTGTGAGAGGCTTAAAATCCCATTCACATTTTTAATATACAGTTTTCTCACATAAATTAATCACAGCTTGGTTGGCAGGTCTTGCATGAGTAATAAGGTTGTTGGCACAAACACAAACCACGGATCTGTTAGGTAAAGGAGAAGCTTTTGTTTGCTTCTGTATTTACACAAGAGGTTTAACTTGTACAAAATGATTTAAGGTATTGGTGTTTTGCTAGCAGGACATGACAAGCCGTGAGATAACATATCCTCCCCAAAATGCATCAACAGAGTTACAAATAAATCCCCACACACTGGTTTGAAAATTAAACTCTTGCTATGCAAAGTATTTTCACAATATGCAGCTTCCATTGCTTATATACACAGGCAGACAACAGCCAGAAACTTACTGTTATATAAAAGGGCTATGCTCTTGAAAGAGAGTTGAGCTGAATGTACTTTTTACATGAGAAAGGAATGTGCTCTTTCGGGTAAATAATGACAAAGTGACATTTCAGTTTGCTTTCTCTCTTTCATTCATAATTTTGGGAAGTGATTGCTCAGGGTATATAACATGTAACCCAGAATTCTGCAAAGTAAGTTTTTTTGCTGAATTTTTCTGAGCAATACCAGCACTCAAACATTCTGCAGTGCAATTTTGCTTCATTGCTGTTGTAAGAGCACGAGCTGGAGAGCTTTGTCTCAATATCTGTTTAGTGCTCTTGCGATGTAGGCCTGACCTGAATTACTCTGCACATGGTGGGAATCTTCCACTGCCTTGATTTAGGGCTTTGAATAAAATCTTCTGTAAACAACAAAATGCAGAAAAGACAATGTATTGCAAGGAATTAACTTTGGAATGTATATATAACATCTGCATTTGTCACAAATTTTGTGTTAGATCAGCAAAACAAATCCCTTTGTAGCACTGCAAGGTTGCATTTGCCAAAATGATGTGTAGTTCTATGGTCACCACACTGAGTGCTTTGGGTTGCTCCTCCATCACACACTGTTGAAAGCAATGTATCAATTATTGCTCTTCTCAGATTGAACATAACTGTAGCTTTGACACAAACAATGCACAAGAAAATTATATGAAATTGTGAGAGACGGAATTGGAATCTTAAGTGCAAATGTATTGAAATGTATGTGTGCAATTCACCATGAACCAAAAGAGAATTACCAGGAAACCAAGACAACTCTGCAGCCAAGGGTGCCTTTAATGCACAGAAGAACATATGCCCTGCTCGAGAGGCTGGCAGCAGCTCACAAAGAGGATACAGTTGCTGGATGTCTCTACTTGCACCACAATCAGTCTCTCAATGTAACTACAGAGATGTTCAGGAAGAGCTGGAGAAACAGGAGTGCAACAAGGAATGGCTTTACTGACACTGTGTGTATTATTTTGGGGCTTTATGAAAGCATCAGTCTAGCAATTGTTCAATCCATGGGAATCATTCACATTTCAAGGTTTGTCATCTTTTAGATTTTTGTTAATAAAATATAATTTTACAATTTATAACTGTTTTCTACTCATTATCATTGAGAAATCTATTATTTAAAAGTGCTCCAGAGATTGTGATCTGAAATTTCTGCTTCACTGCTTTCCCCAAATTCAGTCTTCTCATCCGATTCAACTTGTTCCTGAAAGAAGTCATGTGGAGTATCCTGTATATCCTAATACTTACTAAGGAAATGGGAGAGGTTACAAGTCCTTGGATTATTTAGCCCATTAACATGGAGGGGGTACGATTGCTTTATTGAGAGTAATTGAGGGAAAACATTGCTAAGAGGGAAGGACTATTTAAGCAAAAAAACAAAACTGGCACAAGAACAATTTAGGCTGGAAATGTATATAAGGTTTGCAAACATCAAACGAATGAGATTTTAGAAAGCTTCCTGATTAGAAGAGAACATGCAAATTCCTTCAGTATTAGTCCACATTTTGCTATGGTTAGGAATTAAACTGTGAAATCCAAGAACTCATTCCCAAACATTGGACTCAGTAATCTTAAGGGTCCTTCCCAGCCTAAATGATTTTATATATTCTATGTGCCTGTTACTAGGTAAAGAGCTCGTTGTGAGAGGTTGTATTTTAATAAGTGGGCATTAAAGACATTTTTAACCAAACCCTTTCATACACAATATAAGTACATCAAAGGACCGAGTTGTGTTAAACCACGTCTTTGAACACAAACCTTCCCATGGGCCACATATGAAAATCTTTATGTGGTCAGGTAGCACAATACACCTCATACTGTGGAAAGCTCCGCAAGGACCCGCAGGCAGGAATGACTCTCTGGGACACTGGCAGGGTGAGGCTGGGTGGCCATGTGACCAGGACGGAGGGTTACATTAAAACAACCCCAGTGCCCCACTGCTGCTGACTTTTCCCTCCGAAGGGAGCGGGTCAGAGGCGCAGCCGGCGGCTCGCAGGGCACAGCCGCTCCTCAGGACCCCCGGGTGAGGCGCGGCGGCGGGACAGCGGCGGGAACCGAGCAGCGGCAGCGAGCGCCGCTACAGCGTGAGTGACAGCTCAGCGGGCCAATCCGCGCTCACCGCCGCCTTCCGCCATGGCAAACCCAGCCAATCAGGCCGCCACCTGCACGCCCGGTCCTGCCCCCTCCCTTTTATGGACACATGGCGGACCAATAGCAAGGAGAGACCAGCGCCCGCCCCACCGGTTCTCGCGAGCTCTCGGGGCCGCCGGCCGCCCTCCGCCGGGTGACTGCGCAGCCGCCATGTTGGTTGCTATGCTGCCCGCGTGAGGCGGGCGGGAGGGCGGCGATGAGAGGAGGAGGCTGCAGGTCCTCCCCCCTCCTCCCCCACGGGCGCTCGCTCGCTCGCCGGCAGGGAAGGCGCCTCCGCAGCGCCCCGGCGCTTCACCTCCCCTCGGTCCCCTTTGCCTCCCGTGCGAGGCAGTGCCGCGCCCCGTGAGGCAGAGCCCCGGCCCGCGCGGCCCCTCCGGCCGGTCGCTGTGAGGAGAGGGGGGGAAGGAGAGGCCGGAGGGTGGGGGCGTCCTCCGCCTTCCCCCCGAGGCTCCTCCGTCCTCTTCTCCCCCGACTCTTTTTCCCTCTCCTCCCCCCCGCTCCCTCGGCCCGGTCGCTGCAGTACGATGCGGCGCTCGCCGCTGCGGCGGGGCGCGGGGCGGCTGCTGTCGCTGCTCCCGAGGCTGCGGCTGGGGCGGGCGCTGCGGGAAAACTGAGGGGAGGCGGGGGGGGCGCGGCGATCGGCGCCTCCGCTCCCGGTTCTCGATCCCGATCCCGATCCCGCGGGGTGAGGGGGGGGCGGTGCGGCCGCTGCGCGTGCCCGTGCGCGCGCGCCCGCGGAGGCGGGTTGGGGGTCGCGCGGGGCGGCAGCGGCGGGAGCGCGCAGCCCCCGCGCCTCTTCGCTCCGCGCTCCGCGCTCCGGCCGGACCAGGACGCGGATGTCACATGAAGGTAAAGGCGGCCGCCGGCGCGCTCGGGGTCCGGGCTGGGGGGACGAGGGGGGCTGCGAGCCGCGTCTCTGTGCTGTGCTGTGCTCTAACCCCCACCCCGCTCCCGCAAGTTCGCGCTCAGGTCGCCGCGGGCGGAGAGCGGCTCTGCCCTGAGCCCTTTCGGGTGGTGGGGGGCCTGTGTGCGTGCTCTCCCTCCGGCTTCCCCCTCCGAAAAAACGGGAGAGCGGCTCCCCTCTGGCGAACGGGCTGTGGGGGCTGTGTGGAGCTGGAGGGGGGGAGTCGTAAATAGCCTCGAGGGGAACGAGCTGCGGGGGCAGGTCGGGGTCTCTAAAATGCAGTGAACTCCGCCGAACGCCTGAAACGGGTTTTTATTTTAGCGTGTTTAATAAAAAACTTTGCGATCCTGTGCTTTCTAGGCACATGTGCGCGTTGCCCTGGTTATGGGCAGGGAAAATAGGTTTGAGTGCTGTCGTTGCATTCCTCTGGTACATTTTTAGTGTCTCCCTCGAGCAGAAGGCTTGTATAATCGCCGTGTCTATATGCGACAGAGGCTTTTCGTGTACCTGGTGATGGGTTAACTCGTGCGTGCTGTTGCAGCACCGGCTGGAAGAGGCATAACGTCTTTTTCCTTTCAAAAATCTCCAAGGGCTAGTAGGTAAAACTAGATAGCTGCCAGTGTACGTGAGATGTTCCCACCTCCGGTCTGTTCGAAGGATATATACATCGTTCAGATGTAAAATACACGTGAATGAACTTATGCTGTTATTTACACCCGTCCAGGACTTCAGTGTGGCCAAGCTGTTACAATTTTTTGAACTGTGAGATGGAAAATATTTGTGTGACTTGTGTATTACAGAAGTGCTAATGGATCTCTGCTGAAGAATAATTGTTAGACTGCAGTGTGCACATACATTTTCTCACCCACGGGGCATTTGTCTTGCCCTGAGCCAAACTCAGAGTTCAGTGGTAAGGGGGTTTTGTGAGTGCACGTTTGCCTACTTGTTTTGGCAAATAAGTGCTCTGTAATGTTGGGAGCCACCGACGTGTTCACACGCATGCAAACATTGTGTGCTCATCACATTGTAAATGTGCGTTGCAGGAATACAGGAGTGAGTTACAATAGAATTGGTAAACCCATTTTTTATTAGATATGTATATTGTAGGAAAGTTTTCTGGTTCATTGCTTGAACATAATATATTCAGTATTGTAATCTTATGGATGCCATTTTCTTGACAATGGATTTCTTGCTTCACTGACCGAAAAAGTTGTTTTTACATATTGGCATGACTCTGGCTTGCACCATGTTGATAAAAGATGATTCTGGGTGATAAGCTTACAGATATGTACACATGTGTCAATATGTTTCCCAGGCAAGGGAAACTCAGAAGTTTATAAACTCAGAAGTGTACTGTTGGTCCATTTTTTTTTTGCTATAATTTTGTTGTCATTACAGTTTCTTTGTATTTTTAGATGATGTGTGTGTGTTTTTAATTTTAGTTTTTCAAAGTCAGATTAAACATTGAAATACAAATGCATATTCCTCACAAGCAGAAATGTCTTAAATTTACCTTTCAATATGTTTTCCTTTTGTTTGCAGTTAAATTTGTTTGGAATCAGATTTACCTATTTAGAGTTTACGTCAGTGGTTACTTCTTGTTCAGCAAAATTGTCTGTGGAATGTATTGTTTGTTGCCATGCTTTACAATTCGCGTGTCCTGTTAATGTTTAATTTAGGTTGTACATAATAGTATTGATGAACACCCTTGCTAAAAATACTTTCAGGGTTGGGTATACTTACACCATAGTAGCAGGAGAGTTCCAGCCCATACTGTTTTTCTGTGACTAGAATTAATTAATTATTAGCAGCTATATTTTTAAAGCATGAATAAAAACCAAAATACTGTAATCTTAGAAGTAATGCTAATGGCTCTGTGGAGTGGATGAGCTCTCTGTTAATGAGCAGGGTTCATGCAGTACTATTTACATGTCTATTTACTGCCATTAGCATATTTGAAATATATGGTAAGTTAATACTCAGGGTACATCATTTTGGCTCAGATCCTGCAGTGGCCCCTCTTTGGGAAGATTGATCCACCTGCAGAGAAGTTGCTGCAGGAACTTGAGCTCCAGCATTGGTTCAGTAGACATCAGGCCTGTGTTTCTCATGGACATTTGCTGTGTGTGAATGTTCGGTTGTGTTTGTGTGATTGTCACAGGGGCTTCTGGGCATGCAGAGCTCCAGGGCTGGCAGCCTCATACAGTGGTGTGTGACATGATTACTGGGGATAAAGGGACTTCCAAAAGGTTGCTTTCATATTGTAACAGCACTGCTGAAAGGTCCTGAGCAGCATCTGGGGCTCTATTTCACCGGGCCATTACTTATGGCTGTTACTTTATAAGGATTTTGTTGAGTGTACATGGGAGTTTTGGGCATTGGTTTGTGTGCACATATAGAAAGTGGGATGCACACTGAGAACTGAGGGGAAGGTAGCCAGGATGGGTCAGCCCTCAGCTCATCTGTATGTGGGGAAAAGAACAGCTTGCTCAGGGCAGTTTAGGCTTTGGAAGTAGTCAATGGGTTGAGTAAATATCTTCTTAAGATTACAGTGGTTTGAATATTCTGTTCTAACTTTTCAACTGGTCAAAACTTTAATTGAAACAAGCAGTAGTCATGTACATGGGGTTTTTGGGTTTTTTTTTTTTTTGTGTTGGAATCAATGTTAGACTATTTTCCTTAAATTGATAAATGGTACATTTCTGTGGTGTGTCTTCTTGGGTCTTCTTACTACCAATAATTTGATCCTCTGATTCATCATGATTGTACTTAGCTCTTCCCCTCCCCCAGTTTGGTGTAAATTTTTTTGCAAGATCATATGAATCCCATGCCTTCACATCCTGTTTCTATGTCACCTCACTTCCATTCTCACCAATTAAAAATTGGTCAAACAAGAGAATCTTTCAGCAGATGGTTGACTGTGCTTTTTTTTTTTTTTTTTTTAATACAACACTTTCACTCTGGTGCTGTCACTTTTCATTAAATGGCCAGACAAAATTCTCATGGGTATTAATGTCCTCCAACCTAAATAACTGTAGAAATGGTTCATGTATGTATATAATATGGAATTGTTCATGGGGGAAAGAAGGAAATGTGAAGGTGGAAGAGCAAAGGGAGGGGAGAATGGCCTGAGCAGGAGACAAAACCCAAGGAGCTCAGCAGTGGGCTGGTGACAACAGCAGGTCTTTGCTCTCTGGACCAGCTGTTCATATATGCTTGTTTGGGAAGAGAGACTGTTTTTCCTTCGGGACTTGTAATCCACTGAAGTAGCACAAAACCAGTTTTCTCTAGGCTTTTGAAAACCTTTAATTTCTAAAATTTTGGAGTTCCTTTTAAGTCTATATATATATGCACACATCTATAATTATTATAGTATTATATATGCAGGTACATATTCAAAATTTCCATCTTTATTTTGAAGAATTTCAGAATTAGAAAACTATTGCTGTTTGCTACTTACAATACAAAATAAATTACTTCAAGTTGATGGCAGTTAAAGTGTTCACAGAAGTTTTATTGATGTGCTGACATACTAGAATTCAATGTCCAGATGTGTAGGTTAAAAGAATCTGGCTAACAGCACACTAAAGTCTGTGCTGGTTGTATGCAGTGTCCCAGTGCGTGCCATAGAATGTTACAGCTGCTGGTCACAGAGATTCTCAGTAGATCAGACGAACATAACTTGATGAATTTCTCTTTGAAATGTGAGAATTGAACCAGTTTCTCCTTTCTCATCTTATGCACCTTCAAACAAAGACTTGGTAGGGTGATGCAATTAGGCCTCTCTTGGCACCCTACTTTGTCTCACACTGCAATTACTCTTGGACAAGTTTACTGTGACTATTGGATGATAAATGCAATTCCATTTGTGTGGTTTATGACACACTGCCATCTCTACAGTTACATGAGGAAGGGGAAAATGGCTAATATCCATTTAAAAATAAACAGTCTTTTGATCATGAGTATTTATAATCTGTAATGAAGAATGCTCTGGGAAATATTTTCACTGATTGGAGTGTGAAGTGAGCTCTTCATTGCCACTTCACAGTTTTCAGTCTGACCCCAAGATCGATGAGGAAGAAATAGACAATCCACTTCTTATGGCATGTGCATTCTTACATTTCCTTTCTGGGTATTTCTTATCTTTTTCAGGATAACTAGATTATAAAGTAATAACTGAATTACTCTGCAGAACCAAAAGCCCAGA